TGTGTGTGTGTGTGTGTGTGTGTGTGTGTGTGTGTGTGTGTGTGTGTAAGATCCTGTGTACACACATCCTGGGGCCAGAGGTTGACACCATGTGTCTACCTCAACTGTCTCCTACCATATTTTTTTGAGGGAAGCCTCAGGGATCTCCTGCCTCTGTACCCCAGCACAGGGCCCATGGTGTGTCCCACTGCCCTGCTCTTGGCTTTTTGGCCTGGTTCTGAGGGAACCGAGAACTGAGCTCTGAGGAGAGAACTGAGGTACTCATGCTCACATGGCCTGTGCTTCACTGATTTGTCTCCCCAATCCTAACTCTTCTTGAGGCTCATCTTCTCCTCATTCTTCCTTAGCAGTGAGGAAGGCCAGGCTGTGTATGTGCTCTGGGCCCCAGCCCCTTTCCTTGTTTCACAAATATGATTTCTTAATTACTTGCCCTTTCCTGTATGTATAGCGGACCTTTCCCAGCCTTCCTCTGATGGGTACTTGCCCATCAGTATTAGCAGGGCACCTAACCATGCAACCTTTAAGGGCCAGCGTCCAGGCCCCATCATCCTTCTTTGTAGCAAGACTGTCCCACAATATTCTTCCTACCTGGCGATTCTGGTTCCTTGTCCATCCTAGGCTTTCCCAAGTGCTTGAGACCCTCTGTCAGGAAGCTTTTCTAAGAACCGTTAGTGGCAGGCTTCTCCTGTATAGCTGAGCTGTTCATCTCTTCTTGGAAGGGCTTCTTGAGCTTACCTCTGAGTTAGAGGCCAGTCTGGTATTTATATCTTTAGGTTCTGTGACAAACATACTGGTACATCTGTCTTGGCAACTGAGTTCTTAGTTGTTAGCTTCTCAGAGACTTTTGCTAAGCTTGTCGTGTAACAGTAGGAATTTGGTTTTTGAATTTTAGGTCTCATTGTAAAAAATAAAGATAAAAACAAAAGGAATGTTGTTTTAGCAGGGAACCAGTTTCGAGCAAGTTACTTCTTGCAGCCGGAGCTCACGACATCACAGCTGGCCTTCAGAGATCTAGTGTGGGACGCTAAGGCAGGCACGGTAGGTGTCATTACTGTTGGTCAAATGAGAATGTCCCGTGTCTGTCCTGTGGCAAGCATGTAAATAGCATGCAAACTGACAAATACATTGCAAAGAACACACTCTATTTCCGATATTTTATATTTCTGATATTTTATAATTTGAACTTTGTGCCTCAACTTTTTCTTCCTCTTTTCTGTTTTTCTTCTCTCATTATAAAAGAAATAATTCTAAGTTTATATATTAATCATTCCTCTTTTTTTCATACAAGGTCTTACTATGTAGCTCCAACTATCCTGCATTTTTTTCCTAAAGTAGACTGTGGGGTGTGGGGGTGTTCTGACTGCATATCTGTGTACCAGATTTGTACCTGGTGCCCACAGAGGCCAGAAGAGGGAGTTGAGTCCCCTGGAGCTGGAGTTATAGACAGTTGTGAGCCACCATATGGATGCTGAGACTCTTACCTCAGATGCCTGGAAGATCAGCCAGTGCTCTTAACCACTGAACCATTTTTCCTGCCCTCTATCTTTACATTCATTTTTTATAAGTAAAAATGGGGTGATTAATAATAAAAACAACAATTCTTTCAACACAGTTATTGTGGGAATTGAACGATAAAGATCAATACTGGGCACGTAAGAACACAATAAATGTTAGTGCTGCAGTTTAAAGTATCTCCATTGTGTGATTTTGCTGGGAAGATATTTCTGTTCACCCCAGATAGAGAGGACCATGACAGATCCAAGAAAGGATTCTGTGGGGTCCAGTGTGAAGCAGGCAGTCAATGGGGTCACTCACAGGAGCAGGGGTGACTTGTGTAGCTGTGTCACTGAAAAGCCACACCACAGCCTGGGTGACGAATTATCAAATGCTCCATTGGGGTGCTCTTGTGTGTATCCCCTGCCCTGCCACCCCTCTTGCAACTCTCCAGCAAGTCTCCCTCACCCCCAGCAATTGTTTTGTTTCTATAACCTCAGGGAGGGGTTTTCTTAATTGGAGTTTTTATTGCTGTGATAAAAAGCACCACGAACAAAAACAATGCAGGGAGGAAACGGTTTATTTCTTCTTATGACTGTCCAGTCGAAGTCCATCACTCAGGGAAGTCAGGGCAGGAAGCTGGAGGCAGGAACTGAAGCAGGCTAAGGACCCTAACTGAGGCTAAGGAGGAGTGCCGCTCGCTAGTGGCACTCGATCCTTGCGGTCTGCTTTCCTGTACCATCCAGCACCACATCTGCCCAGGGTTCCACCTCCCACAGAGCAAGCATGCGCCTTCCAGCTATTTATCTTCATTGTCTTTCCTTCCCTCCCCAGAGCCTAAGGGGAAGAATCAAAGCTCCATGTGGTCAGGGTTTGGGAGGGGTGGTACAGAATATTAGGGCTTGCTGTCAACTCATGACAGAATCCAAGCCAAAGGAGGCTTGACCTAGGTGACACTGATGCCTTTTCTGGTACCACTCAGCAGTAGCTGTCCACACACATCTTACAAGAATGACTTGCAGATGGGAATACAGTGATTTCATGGTCGAATCGTACCTTTTACCTATGAGTCCTACATGTCCTTTTCATTGCAGTTTATAAGTAATTTCAAAAACCACAACTTTCAAATGTAGCTGTATGAAATTTTACCCCAAATGGCTGATTTTGATTTTAAGTGAACTTCACTGAAACTGTATTGTGTATATATGTTTGTATAAAATTCTTGGGGTTTGTTTGGGGTTTTATTAGTTTTTATTTTCTTTTTATTAGTTACAGTTTATTCACTTTGTACCCCAGCTGTAGCCCCCTTCCCCATCCCCTCCCAATCTCACCCTCCTTCCCTCTTCTTTTCCTATGACCCTCCCCCAATCCAATGATAGGAGAGGTCCTCCTCCCCTCTCATCTGACCCTAGCCTATCAGGTCTCATCAGGACTGGCTTCTTGTCTTCCTCTGTGGCCTGGTAAGGCTGCTTCCCTCTCAGGTGGAGTTGATCAGAGAGCCAGCACATGAGTTCACATCAGAGACGATCCCTGTTCCTATTATTGGGGAACCCTCTTGGACACTGAGCTGCCATGGGCTACTTCTATGCAGGGGTTCTAGGTTATCTCCATGCATGGTCCTTGTTTGGAGTATCAGCCTCAGAAAAGACCTCTGTGCCCAGATTATTTTGGTTCTGTTGCTCCCCTTGTGGAGCTCCTGTCCCCTCCAGGTCTTTCTATCTCCCCCTTCTTTCAGAAGATTCCCTGCACTGTGCCCAAAGTTTGGCTATGACTCTCAGCATATGTTTTGATACCCTGCTGGGTAGAGTCTTTCAGAGGCCCTGTGTGATAGGCTCCTGTCCTGTTCCTTGTTTTCTCCCTCTTCTAATGTCCATCTCATTTGCCTTTCTGAATGAAGATTGAGCATCTTACCCAGGGTCCTCCTCCTTGATTGTTTTGTTTTTTAATCTACATGTATTTTCTTTTTGCTTGCTTGTTTTTAAAACAGGGTCTTATGTAGCCCAGGCTGGCCTTGAACTCCTAATCCTTCTGCCTTCACCTCCTAAGTGCTGAGATTTCCAGAGTGAATTGCTATACCCAGCTTTCCATTTATTTTCTCTTTTATTTTATTAATTAATTTATTTATTTATTATACTTTATTCACTTTATATCCTGATCGTAGCCCCTCTCCCTCATCTCTTCCCGCTCCCACCCTCCTTTCCTCTTCCCTGCTACCCCCCCCTAATCCACAGAAAGGGGGAGCCCTCCTTCTCTACCATCTGACCCTAGTCCATCAAATCTCATCAGGATTGCCCCACCAGGGGGAAGTGATCAAAGACAGGCAATAGAGTCCATGTCAGAGCCCCTGCTCCCCTTACTAGGAAACCCACATGAACCCAAACTGAGCTGCCTATTGGCTACATCTGAGCAGGGTGTCTAGGTCCCCTCCATGCATGGTCCTTTGCTTGGTGCATCAGTCTCTGCAGAGGGCCCTGGGCCCAGATATGTTGGCTTTTTGGTCTCCTTGTGGAGCTTCTGTCCCCTCCAGGTCCTTCTATCCCCCACTCTTCTATCAGACTCTCTGTGCTCTGCCCAAAGTTTGGCAGGGAGTCCTAGCATTGCTTTGATCCCCTGGTGGGTAGAGTCTTTCAGAGGACATCTATGGTAAGCTCCTGTCCTGTTTTCTCTCTTCAACTACTTCTGGTTGAAGAGTTATTTGCCTTTCTAAATGAGAATTAAGCATCCTCCCTAGAGTCTTCCTTGTTACTTAGCTTCTTTAGGTCTATGGATTATAATATGATTATCCTGTATTATATGACTAATATCTACTTGTATAAGTGAGTATATACCATGAGTGTCTTTCTGGATCTTACCTCACTCAGGATAATCTTTTCTAGTTCCATCCATTTGCCTGCAAATTTCGTTATTTCTTTGTTTTTAATAGCTGAATAGTATTCCATTGTGTAAATATACCACAATTTCTGTATCCATTCCTCAACTGAGGGACATCTGGGTTGTTTCTAGATTCTGGTATGGAGAGAGTGGGCAGCCTTACCTTGTCCCTCATTTCAGTGGAATTGATAAATGGTAAGCCTATAGCCAACATCAAACTAAATGGAGAGAAACTTAAATCAATTCTCCTGAAATCAGGGACAAGGCAAGGCTGCTCACCCTCTCCGTATCTCTTCAACATAGTACTTGAAGTTCTAGCTAGAGCAATAGATAATCAAAAGAGATCAAGAGAGACTAAGCTGAAAAGGAAGAAGTCAAAATATCACTCTTTGCAGATGATATGATAGTATATACATAAGTGACCCCAAAAATGCTACCAAGGAATTCCTACAGCTGATAAACACCTTCAGCAAAGTGGCTGGATACAAAATGCATTTCTTATTATACTTTATTCACTTTGTATCCCCCCTGTGGTTCCCTCCCTCCCTCCCATCCCAATCTCTCCCTTCCTCCACCCTCTGCTTGCATGCCCTTCCCCAAGTCCACTGATAGGGGAGGTCTTCTTTTCTTCCTTCTGATCCTAGTCAATTAGGTCTCATCAGGAGTGGCTGCATTGTCTTCTTCTGTGGCCTGGTAATGCTGCTTCCCTCTTAGAGGGAGGTAATTAAAGAGCAGGCCAATCAGCTCATGTCAGAGACAGTCCCTGTTCCTATTACAATGGAACCCACTTGGATACTGAACTTCCATGGGCTACATCTGTGCAGGGGTCTTAGGTTATCTCCATGCATAGTCCTTGGTTGGAGTATCAGTCTCAGGAAAGACCCCTGTGCTCAGATTTTTTGGTTCTGTTGCTCTCCTTGTGGAGTTCCCGTCCTCTCCAGATCTTACTGTTTCCCATTTCTTTCATAAGATTCCCTGCACTCTGCCCAAAGGTTGCCCATAAGTCTCAGCATCTGCATTAATAGTCTGCAGGGCAGAGCCTTTCAGAGGTCCTCTGTGGTCAGGCTCATGACCTGTTCCCTCTTTTCTCCTTCCTCTGATGTCCATCCTCTTTGCCTTTCTGGATAGGAATTGAGCATTTTAGCAAGAGTCCTCCCTCTTGATTAGTTTATTTAGGTGTACAGACTTTAGTAGGTTTATCCTATATTATATGTCTATATGAGTGAGTATATACCGTGTGCATCTTTCTGCTTCTGGGATACCTCACTCAGGATGATCTTTTCCAGATCCCACCATTTACCTGCAAATTTCATAATTTCCTTGTTTTTTATTGCTGAGTAGTATTCCATTGTGTAGATGAAATGCAAATCAAAACAACCCTGAGATTTCACCCTACACCCATCAGAATGGCTAACATCAAAAACTCAAGAGACAACACATGCTGGAGAGGTTGTGGGGAAAGGGGAACCCTCCTCCACTGCTGGTGGGAGTGTAAACTCTGGAAATCAATCTGTTGCTTTCTCAGACAGCTAGGAAGAGCGCTTCCTCAAGATCCAGCTATACCACTCCTAGGCATATACTCAAGTACACAATAAGGACATTTGCTCAACCATGTTTGTAGCAGTCTTATTTGTAATAGCCAGAAGCTGGAAACAGCCCACATGCCCCTCAATGGAGGAATGGATGCATTTATTTTCTTAAGTTGTATTTATAAAATATGTTTTTAGAAAAATGGATTTTATTATAAACAATAAAATAGGTTTTGTGCTTAATTTTTCTTTCAGATTATGTCAAGACCAAGTCGTGTTTCATTGATTCTGACCCTGTGGAGCTGTAAAATGATTCCTCTCCCTGGAACAAGCATACAGGTTCTCAGCAGACATGTACGCCTCTGTCTGTTTGATGGTAGTAAGGTAAGAACTAAAGACGCTGAGAACTAAGTCAAGTTACCCCAGGATAAGAAAAAAGGATTTTATTAGCATCACATATTAAATATAGTACATTAAACAGTTCCTGCCTTTTCTCTCTCTGTGATCACATATGCTCATTATCTGTATGCATCCACACATAGCAATATAAACAGGTGGTAGTGCACCCACACTGTCTCTGATTATGCAGGTTTAACTCCTGGTTCTGTGAGTTGTTGAGTGATATTGTTACATCACAGAAACTGCCTGAGCTAATGTATCTAAGGTTTCATGCTGTTCTCCTGTTCTACTCAGCCCAGGTCTTAACCAGAATACTACATTTTTTTTATTTTTTTTATTTAACTTTTATTAATTACACTTTATTCATTTTGTATCCCCCCATAAGCCCCTCCCTCCTCCCCTCCCGGTCCCACTCCCCCCTTTCTGCATGCATGCCCCTCCCCATGTCCACTGATTAGGGAGGTCCTCCTCTCCTTCTTTCTGATCTTAGTCTATCAGTTCTCATCAGAAGTTGGTGCATTGTCAGGGTTCTAGGTTATCTCCATGAATAGTCCTTGGTTGGAGTATGAGTCTCTGGGAAGTTCCCTGTGTTCAAATTTTCTTGTTCTGCTGCTCTCCTTGTGGAGTTCCTGTCCTCTCCAGCTCTTACTATTTCCCACTTCTTACATAAAATTCCATTCACTCTGCCCGTCAGTTGGCCATCAGGCTCAACATTTTTGACAAATTATACAAGGGTATAATCAATTCCGTAAATGGGAAAACAGAGCATTGCTATGTCTATACAAAGCTTCCCCCTCTGCTCCTCCCTGGTTCTAGAGACTGCTGTTACCCAGTGCAGTATCAAAGTATCAACAAAAATTCTGGATGATTTAAAAAAAAAAAAAAAACTTTTATGAGAAAATTCTTAGTGCCTGGATAGAAATTTGTAGTTTTAACTGCAAATACTGCAAAGAATAAAGACTCACGCTACCAACTTAAAAACCTACAAGTAGAAGAGTAAGTTAAGCCTGAAAATAGCAAGAAGATGAAATAACAAAAATTAATAAAATAAGAGAAAAATGAACCAGAGAGAAAACATTAAAAAGTTGTTTTTTGTTTTTTGTTTTTTTTTTAAAAAGAATCAAATTGAAAGGTACCTGGTAAAACTAATCAGGAAATTGTTTTTAAAGAGCAAGAAAACAAATTACCACTATCTGAGTAGAAACAGACATTAACAAAGATCCTTCAACATCAGGGGCAATATGGGATCTCACAATCAATTTTATGCCAGCAAATTTGGAAACACTGATGAACAGTTTCTTGGAATACCATAAGTTATTTGAAACTAACATAAAAATGAATAATGTGTGAAAAGAATGAAAACAAGAAGAAATCTTTCTCCAAGGAACACTCTAGGCACAGGTGGCTTCGCTAGTGACTTACTCCAGCATAAAAAGTTACAGAACCAGCCTCATATGAACTTCTTATAGAGAACAGGTAAGAAAATGCTTCATCTCAGAAAGCCAGGAAAAACTTGATATCAAATATGACATAGAAAGAGAAATTATAAGGCCAGTATCCTTCCAGGCTGTAGAAACTAAAATTCTAATCAAAATACTCAAATTGAACCTAGCAGTGTAGAAAGGATACCCTACCACGGCCATGAAGAGTTTCTTCCAAGAATTCAGATGTACACACCTGCGCAGCTAACACTGAACACTGGACAAGCAATCATTGTAGTCTATCATATTGACAGCACAAAGAAGACCATGTACACAGTGAAAGGTCAATAGATGTAGAAACATTTTGGAATTTCAATGCCTGTTCATGACGTCTAAGAAATTTTCTACAAAGTAGAAATAGAAGGGAATTTCCTGGCTTTAAAGGGCAATATGAAAAAACCCAAGGTTATGACCAGACTTAACAGGAAAATATCAAACACCTTCCTTAAGATCAGGAACAACTCAAGAATATCTGAGAAAAAAAAATGAGTCAAATTTTTAAGTAAACAAAATTCTGAAAAATACTTGGGAACCCAATATGTGTATTAGACATGCAACAAATTATCAGGGAAATGCAAAGATAGACCATAGGAAGAGAGAGCCAACTATGTGCTCTGTACAAGAAGCCCTTCCTCAAATATAATACTACAGGTAGGCCAAAAGTCAAAGGTAGAAAAAACAGGCCATTGACATAGTCCACAAAGTAGATACTACATAGTGATGAAACATAAGTCACCAGAGGACGTAACAGCTTCAGGTGTGTGCACGGCCACTAGATCTTCAGAATGCATAAAACTAAACGTATACATACCTGAAAAAGGAAATGAGCCATGACAGAAGTATGGTGAAAACTTTAACATTTGTCATTCAGTAACACAGAACTAACTTTAAAATAAGAATCTAAAAGAGTGAGTAACACAAACTAGACCAAACAGGTACCCTTCACCTCAGAACAGTATGGACCAGTGTGATGGCTCAGCAAGTGGAAGCAGTAGCCTTGCAAGCCTGCCGGCCTGAGTTCCATCCCTGGGACCTGCAGGGTGGAAGGAGAGAATCGATTCCCACATGCATCCTGTGGCAGGCATGTGCCTTCCTACACTCCCTACAAGACAAATACATGTAGGAAAGAAATTTCCGAAAGGTATATATGTTTTAAACATACATCTGAGTGTACATGGAGTATGTACCACAACAGATGGACAGTTGTGGAGCAGAACACAAGCATCAAAGCCATGTGACGCATGGTCGTGGAGCATATGCAATTAAAACAGACAGGGTACTGACTCATCTTCATTGTCTCTTGACCAGACTTGGAATCACCTAGGAGACATCCCTGGTTATATATTTGAGAACAGTTCCAGAGAGGCGTAGCTGGAGAGGGAAGACCCACACAGAATGGGTATGCCACAGACATACCCCACAGACCAACATCCCAGGCCAAAGAAAGCGGGAGGAGAATGTGAGCTGAGCAGCAGCAGTGGCTGCCCCTGCTGATGAGGCCATGTGTGAACAACCCCCTCGAGAGCTTGTGGCCCCGTCTCCTCCCTGCCACAGTGGGCTGCACACTCAGTGAGTCAAGATGGACCCTCCTTCCTTAAATTTCTGTTGCCAGTTATTGTGTCACAGCGGCAAGAAATGCAACTGATTCAAAAGAGCAGTAACAGAAATATCAGTAGAGAAACCCTGCAACACTTAGAAAGCAATAGCTTTATCAAGAACCCGTGTGTTAAAGGAGGAATGAGAAGATTTTTTGTACTCATCGGAAAATGAAACTGAAGTGTAACTTATGGAGGTGTTGGATAAGCATAGGGCGTCTTGCCCTAAATGTGTGCCTTAGTAAAGAATCCTTCCATCAGGAGGCTTCTGCTGGGACTACAGGAGTACACCAGCGTGCCCTACTCTAGTTTGAAGTTTGAGTTTTAACTAACACATCAAAATAATAGAACTTAAACTAAAATGGTAGACATTACTTTATGAAACTGATCTATAACAGGTTTCCCATCGTAGGGTGTCTAGTAGGAGTGTACGTCCTCATGCTGTTTAAATTCTTCCACAGTAACTCTAAGATTGCCACAAATAAGAAGCACTGCTGTCGAAACCAAGGAAGGACATGCCACTTGTAGAGACAGCCTTCCCGCACAGCCCAGTTCTCTTAAAAGGCTGCAGTTCACTAAAAGCAGTTCACCGAAAGGCTGCAGCGCCCGAGGAAGCAGGCAGATGCTGACAAGGGGCCTGGGGCTTTCAGCTGGATGCCTCAATTTCACTGATTTTCTCTTGTTGGTAGAGATGTCACTCTGGGCCTCACATGTGCTAACCATGCTTTGAACCGGGCTCCTACCCTCAGTTGCACGGTTGGTTTTCTCTTCCTTCCAATCTCTTGTTCTTCTGTTTTCTTTATCCTATACACACACACACACACACACACACACACACACACACACACAATGAATCTGTACTATTCAATGCAGCCATTGTTGGTGGCCTGAGACTCAGAAGTGCTGTGTCTCCTACAGTGTGGTTTCAAATGAGAAAATCTCATTTCAGGTTCTGAGTAATATCCATACAGTCCGAGCCATGTGGCAGCCTAAAAAGCCCAAAACATGGACCTTTTCTCCCCAGGTAAGTCATCTGCTGAGTGGGTTCCTCCACCTGTGAAATGTAAGATGCAACCAAGAGCCAAAGGTTGGTGGTACATGCCTTTAATCTTAGCACTTGGGAGGCAGAGGCAGGTGAATCTCTGTGAGTTCTAGGCCAGCTTTTTTACAGAGTGAGCTCCAAGACAGAGCTACACCAACAAACAAAAAAGCTGCATCGGAAGATTCCAAAGTGTGGTGCACAGAGCATGCAGCGTATAGGATCAAATGGAAATCTTGATGGTGTTTATTGTTCTTTGATGATTTGGGGGAAAATCCCTCAGGCCCCTGACTCACTGAAGCTGACCACAGTCTCTCAGTGGATTTCAATTTTAGGAAATGCCCTTTCAAGAAGGTAAGATTAGGATTGGAGTGTTTTTTCAAAATGAAATCTTCTAACTGTGCTAATGGCACTTGTCATTTCCTCAGATAAAAATCAAAGGCACTGCCTTGGGGACCGCATTACACCCAGATCCTGCCAAGACGGCAGTCAGGGCTTCAGGCCCCTGAGTCAGTTTCACACAGATGCTAGGGAGTCAGGGAGTCTTCATGTTCTTTCTACAGTATTGTTTGTGGTTTGCTTTTTTTTTTCCCTACCTCCAAGGACTCATTATTTCGGCATTTACTTCCCTCCCATAACTAACTCCTTTGTTCCACTGCACCCTAGAAGCCCTCCATTTCTCTCCCTCCTTCTGCATCAGGTCTTAGCACAAAATGGAGGGTCAGGGTGAAGGCACAGGCTGTTCTGGAGGCTCAGCCACCTCATTTGATGTGACTTGTGTCCTCGCTGCTCTGTGGCACAACTCCTCAAAGCCCTTTGCCTCCATGGAGCACTGCTTGACCTCTGTCTCAGACCGGCACAGGTCACTTCCTCATCTGTGCATGTGCAGTGTTGGTTCCCAGGATGAGGTTGTGCTGCTGGGAGGAGTAAATCGGTATGAGCGAACTTCTTGAATGAAGCTGAGCACTTCCCATGCTCTAGACATGTGGGAGTTTACATGAACGTATACATCCGTGAACTGATGGACACTGTGGACAGGCCACGTGCACTGTGGTCCTTAGTCCTTTAGCAGTAGTTAGTGTGATACAGAATATAAATGCATTTTGTCACACCTGTAGGACTCTGCTTCTTGCCTGTTTTAGGGGAAAAAAAAAATCAAGGAAGTTGAAGGTAATCGCCCTGTCAGCAGAGAAGCTAAATGTTCCTACTTCCAAGAAAGTATTTGTTTGTTTGTTTTACATTTGTCTAGCTTAGCACATCCGTGTGCATACATGCAAATGCAGGTCAGAGGGCAGCATGTAGGAGTCAGCACACTCCTCCTACTTCGTGGGTCCAGAAACTCGGGACTTCGGGCCTGGCAGCAAGCCCTCTTCTCACTGAGACACCTTGGCAGCCCACATCTCTGTCTACCACGAGGAGAGGTGTGAGCCCTTCACAGATGCACTCTTCACCTTGGTCAGTAACTTTGCTCTCCTTATCTTTCTAGGTCACCGGCATCCTGCCGTGCTTGCTCGATGGTGACTGCTTTATCAGGTCCAATTCTTCAACCCCAGACCTCGGGATATTATTTGAACTTGGAATTTCTTACATTCGCAATGTATGTCAAAACTGAAAGACAAACTGTTTTAACGCATCAAAGGGGAACCATTAGAAATGTATCCGATTTACAAGCAGAGTAACAAACAGAAGCTGTGCTAGCTGCACTTGTGTTGTGATGGTAAAATGCCCTGATGAAAGCGACTCAGGGGAAGGGTTTTTTCTGGCCCACAGTTCCTGGGGATTGGTCCACCATGGCAGGGCAAGCATGGCAGGCAGCAGAGGGAGGCGAGCTAGTGTCACTGCAGCAGCAGTCAAGAGGGAGGCAGACTCTGAACAGGAAGTGGGACTGGACCATAAACCTCAAGGCCCACCCCAGCGACCCATTTCCTCCATCAGGGCCCACCCCCTAAAGGTACCACCAAAATGGAAGACAGTACCACCAGCCCAGGGACCAGGTACTCAAACACACATGGCTGCAAGGGACATTCACACTCAAATCACAGCAAAGGCTTTCTGTGTATCAGAAACTGAACCAGAGTGATGCTGCTTCTCATTTTTTTAAAGTATTATATTTTACTTATGGGCACGGTATGGAGCTCAGAGAACAGTTGTAGGAGTCAACTCTCTCCCTTTGCCCTGTGGTCCCAGGCATCGAACTCCAGTTGTCAAGTTTGGCAGCAGGGACCTTGACACACTGAGCCATCTTAGCGCCCTGGCTCTTGCTTTGCATATGGTAAAGCTTAGCGGTATTTACAGGAGAGGGGTATTAGTTGGCATTTATTGCACTGTTGAACTCCTGTTGCTTTTAAAGAACGATAACTCATAAAGGCTGGGACTTTGCAGCACTGTCTTCTGTAAGCTGAGGCCGCTTAACTCTATAGGTCAAAGTTCTTGCTTAGGGACTTGAGAGAATGGCCAGGGAACATCAGCTATGCGCTTTAGTGTTTGTCAGGAGAAATACTACACCTGCTGGTGTGCACCCTATTGAGTCCCCGTGTCCTTTCTCTGATTACGGCTTGACAGGTGTAGCATCTACACCTGGCCTTGCAGCTACACAGAGTGCTGTCACAGGAAGAGCATGTCAGTTTACCGCATCATCCTGTACATTGTCAGGATAGCAGGGTAGGACATGAGAAGAGCCGCGTGAGCCCCAGTGGCTCTGGCATTTGGCAGGAGAGCTGAGCTTCCTAGCAAAGCAACCCTGTCGTTACTTATTCCTGTATTCCATCCCCCTGTAAAACAAAGCTTCCAAATGCCGTGTGGCACCCTGTGACTTACACAGTTGTCCCCAAACTGTGTATAGCACTGGAAACCCAGCAGCAACACTACCTCAGGATCAGCTTTAAGGGACTTTCAGCGCAGCTGTGACGAAGGACTGTCATTTGAAGTACCACTTTTAACACCTGACCTACAAGTAAAATGGAGCCCTGGCCTGTCACGTCTTATTTTCTTTCGGGGCAGTTTAGTCCTTAGAGTGAACGTTAACTGTGCTCCTCCCAGAGGGCTTGGGTTTGCTTGTAAGTGGCTAGTTCAGACACCGGTCCACGTGTCCTTTTTCTTTCCTAGTCTACTGGTGAGAGAGGAGAGTTAAGCTGTGGCTGGGTGTTTCTTAAGCTTTTCAATGCCAGCGGAGTTCCTATTCCAGCAAAGTAAGTGAGCTCATTACACCCTACAAGTGAGCACCTTTGTAGAAAATTCCTAGGCACCACCTACCTTAGCTGTGTTCTGTTAATATTTAAACAAGTTTTGGGACAAGGGCTTTCTGTATTGCCCTTAGTGTTTGGGGGAACGTGGGAAAACAGTACACATTCTCAAACCAGTGAGAAAGAAATGACCTGTTGTCCTATGGAGACACTGCACTTCACCGTGCTGAAAATAGAGCCTGGCATTCCTCAGAAAGCGGTGGCTGAGTCGGTGGTCCTCTCTGCCTCCCGTAGCAGGCAGGTCACTGCGACTGCAGTTGCAACAACTGTAAACAAATTGAAGCTGTGAGAGCAAAAGCAGACTGGCCAACCCCTGTGTCACAAACACAGGGTCGAAGAGATTGCCTCCCTGTTGCAAAAACTAACAAGAAAATAGAGAATCTCAGTTTTAAGTTGGGGGAACAAAGATCTGAGTCAAGGACATAAGCAGTGAACTCACAGGAGGGTAGACAGAGGGGCAGACGGGACTAAAATTCTGGGCTTCCAGAGCTCTGGGCCCACCTCCTCCTGAGTGATCAGGTTTCTTAATACCTCCAGGTCAGAGTTTCCTCCATCTTTGGGAGAGGGTCTGTTGAGTTGCTACCTCACGGAAGAGTCAGCGCCTTGATTCTCATTCACCAATGTCTGAGTAAAATGCCTGCGAATAGCTTGATGCCAAAGAGCATTCCTGGCTGAGTCTAGTTCATGAATGCCCCCGACATGGACCAGTCACATGTGCTGTTCTTTTATAGAACGTACGAACTCTTCTTGAATGGTGGCACTCCTTATGAAAAAGGTGTTGAAGTGGACCCCTCAGTGTCCAGAAGAGGTACAGCCCTTATGTGTGACCCCTGTTAGCTGGCTTCTTAGCACCATGACCCTGCCATAAGCAGGTTAAAGGAGGGAGGGTTCGTTTGGGTCTGCATTTCCACAGGGTTCAGTCTGTGGTCACTGGGCCCTGTTAGCAAAGAACATCATGGCAAAGCATGTGATGGAGAAGTCTCTTCATCCCATGATGGCTGCTGGGACAGCGCAGAAGGGCAAGGCTCCCTGTATCTCCTTAACAGACCTAGCTCCAGTGGCCCGAATGTGTCTTTGAAGGCCCCAGAAAGGTTCCCCATCTCCATATTCCTCAGGCTGGTGATCAACCTTTAATATATAGGTCTTTTTATAAGATTTCTCTCTTCTCTTTTTTTTTAAAAAAATGTGTATGTTTATTTGTATGTATGTCTTTCTATTACATGCATACTTGGTGCCTGTGGAGGTCAGAAGAAGGCATTGGGATTTAACTCCCTGGAACTGGAGTTAAAGATGGTTGTAAGCCACCATATGAGTGCTGGGATCCGAACAGTGGTCCTCTGCAAGAGCAGACAGTGCTCTTAACCACCGAGCCATCTCTCCAGCACTGTGGGCCTTTGAGTGGCATCTAAATCCAAATCGTATTACCCTCCTTTCCTTAAAGACAAAGCAAGCAGCAGAGCAGCAGAGAATGAAGCTGCATCCCAACAAGACACCCTTTCCCCTCGGAATCACAGTCCCTAATGCGCCATCAGTATGAAAATTAAGGCACTTTTATCTAGGTGTTTATTTTTGCTGGTACCAGAAATTCTAAGGTAGGAATTGTGAAGAATGGGGACCCTGCCTCGGCGGCTTTTCGCTGGACACGGTTGATGCCTGGCTTCATTAGGGTTTATATTGCTATAATGAAACATAAGCAGATGTTTCCTTCCTTGGGGAGGAAAGGGTTTATCTGGAGTACACCTTCATTCACATGGTTGTCCCATCATGGGAGGAAGTCAAGGCAGGAACTCAGACAGAACAGGAGCTGTGGAGGGGTGCTGCTTACTGGCTTGCTCCCCATGGCTTGCTCAGCTGCTTTCTTATAGAATCCAGGACCACGAGCCTGGGGATGGCCCCACCTACAATGGGCCAGGTCCTCTCTCATCAGTCATTAATAAAATGCCCTATAGGTTGCCTACAGCCTTATCTTATGTAGGCATTTCCTCAACTGAGGTTTCCACCTCTCAGATGACTCTGTGTCATGTTGACATAAAACTGCCAGCATAATAACTTGTAACATATAGGTGTAGCTATTTGAATGTATGCCAAGTGCCCTTAATACCATCCACCCCTCAGTGGCCTTTACACCATCCACCCAGCAGTATGCCGGAGAAGCAGGAAGATGGACACTAAGACAGATACAGTCCTTCCTCACAGAGCATTAGTCCAACATACATGCAATATCTTGGCGCTCTTCCGCTACCTGAGTCCCGGCACTCCTCACCACTGCCGATGCCCGACAGTGCCGCCGCCCCACAATGCCAGGTAGGGCTTTGGAATCTGAGGATCTGTGGCTTCTGCCTGGAGCCAGGGGTGTTTCATCAGATCCCTTTTTTCATGCCACAGAGCATCTTCTCACAGTGGCCTGTGAGGTGCCCTCTGGAGACACATGCACATTCACGCCAAGACAGGCCCATAGCAGCTGGGTAGGTGAACACGCCTTTCGTGTATTGCCTGAAGATTCTCGTGGAATGTGTGTCTAAATGGACATTATCCCAGCCACTTAAACCCTGACTCCATGTTCTTGATGTCTTTGTAGCACAGGGCAGTGTCTTTCGCCAGATGATAAGCATGCGGAGGCAGCCTCAACTTCTGGTGAAAGTGCGGTCTCTGAACAGGAGGTCAAGGGCCATGCTCAGGTGAGTGGCTGGCCTGACCTCTCTGCAGGAGTGGGAGGTGGCAGGCTAGGTGGGGCAGCTGCTTGCTTGGCCTTCGTCAGTTCTTGCCTCTTTCAGTACTCTACCAGAATTCCATACAGGCAACAGAATAGTAATAATGCACAGAGTCACTTCCTTTCCAGTTAGCCCAAGTCCTGGAGAGATGTCTCTGTGGTTACCAGCACTTGCTGCTCTTCCAGAGGACCTGGCTTTGGTTCCATCATGTTAGCTTACATCCATCCATTACGCCACCTCCAGGGGATTCACCTCCCTCCTCTTGCCTCCGTGGGCACCTGCACACATGTGATATACACACATAGACACCCGGGTTTTTAAATGATAGAAGTCATGTTACAGTTAAAGATTCTTGAATAAGCAGGAACTTCCTATCTTAAGGATATGATGGTATAGTTGTAGCCTAAGGGGTCTTCTTTTCCATGTCAAGTTTAAGAAGATCTAATCCATGTAAAGCAAAATTGCCTTATCAAGCAGTTATCTGAGTCTTGACAAATGTACCTGATGGTGTAACATTCATGCAGCCGAAATGGAGAACACCTCATTCTCTTTTACAAAAAGGAAGTTCCCTCATGTTCCTTTGCAATGAGCGCTCCAGCCCCAGCCTCAGGCAAACTCTCATATGTCTTCTTCCTCAGCACTGCAATATATCTCAAACCATCCTGAATGGTGCTAAGTAGACTTGCTATCTGACTTCTTTCACTCAGCGAGATACACTGCAGGCCCGTCCATGCTGCTGGTGTGTTAGCAGCTTGGTCCTTTTCATTCTAAATGGTGCTGCACTTGATGGGCAGATCACTGTTGGCTTATGCATGCATTACCTGATGGTTCTAGCTCTGAACAGTCACTAAGAAAGCTTCTCCCAATATTTGCATACAATACTCGCATACAGCACAGACGTCTACATTTTGAGTGGGTAAAAATGCCTAGGAATGGAATCGCTAGCGTATATAGTACTGCTTTAACTTAATAAGAAGCTGCCAGACTGTCGGTATGACTGCGCCATTTACAGATAGCAAAGCACTGAGGTCCAGTTACTCTGCATTCTCGACAGCACCAGGTTTGACCTCGGTGGGTGGGTGGACCATTCTACATGAGAATCTACCAATGTCTCAGTACCCTGTAGTCATTTTCTCACCTCTCTCAGGATCTCAAACTTTAAAACAATAGCAGCCCAACAAAGCTGTAATAAGGTTTAATAAAAGGGAGCGTATAAGAACTCGGTTATGAGTTAGCTCATAACTGTAGTTATAGTTAGCTCATAGTTATGTGTGACACACACAGAAGCGTAGTCGTGCTCACTGTATGTGCTAGTACAATTATCTTATGCATAGCTAAATGTAAATGCGATTCTAGTATCTGTTCAAATGAGCACATCTGGTAAGATCAGACATGGTCTTTCAATGGGCTTTGAAGGGTTGAAGGACGTGAGCGTGGGCACGGAGGGGACTAGGGAAGGGTGCATGTTGGGCAGAGCCTGCTGAGAGGGCTGTCCTGCCAGGACCTGCCTACCGGTCTCCAGGAAGTAGGGAAAAGTTGCCAGCAAGATGGCTCAGCGGATAGAGGTGCCTGCCACTAAGCCTGACAATCCGTGTTTGCTCCCCAAGGGCCACATGGTGGAAGGAGAGAACCAATTCCTAAGAGTTGTCTTCAGCCCACGCCCACACTCCCACCCTCACACACCCCCAGCTGCCCACACACAATTATTATATAATTTTAACTTTTGTAGTGAAGTGGGAAAGTGAAAGAGAGCTTGGTCTGCTGTTTTCAGTCCAGGTTGTGCCATCAGTCCAGACAGCCCTTGTCCTAACCTCATGCTGAAGTGTAAGGTACCCTTTACAGGTCGGTCTGTCAGCAGCCATTAATAAGTATTCATGGATACTGTTTACTCTTGGCCTTTTTTTTTTTTTTTTTTTTTTTTTTTTTTTTTTTTCTCTCTCTCTAGACATTCATGGGGCCTCTAATCCACCCTTCCCCTTTTGGGCAACCTCCCCTTGAAAATTAGTTTCTTTTCAAGGTGAGGGAACAAAAGCCTCACAGTAGCTGCCTTTGTGTGAGCAGAGCCCAGTCCTTCTGTCTTCGATCCCCCTGTTGGCGCTGGCCCGCTGCTCATCTGTGGCCAGGCCTGCAAGGCTCCTGTCAGGGACAGCTCTCAGTGCTGCTTTCTTGGCTCAGATATGCTTCACTGTCTCAGGATCAAGCTGGCCTGTGTGGCACAGAGGTCAGGGAGGCATCCATCTGTCTGCAACTCTAAACAATGCCCTGTGGCATCAGGTCATGGGCAAAAGTCCTTAGTCCCTGTTCCCCAGACTTCAGGAACCCACTGCGGCCTGTGTTAAATGCAGCTCACAGCAGGCACAGAAACAGGTGTATGCATGATTTCCAAGTAGAGGTCTTCCTGGGAATGCTGCTTGTGCTTCGGGAACTTCACCTCCACTGGCCCCAGCCTCTCTGCCTGTCTGCCATGTGCCCTTTTCTTTTAGACCCACAGACTTAAGCTGTGTCTTGAAATTCTACTTTGAGTACCATGTTGGTGTGATCCAAGCACAGGCTTCTCACAGACACCAGGCCACAGACTTTCTGGGGCCAGAGGATTATGGACCATAAGACCTGTGCCATGGGTTCAAGGAGAGAGGCTGGGTGCCCGTGTGTAAGCTTTACACACAGTTCCCTGAGCTTCCCCACCAGGGAAGTGCAGACAGGGAAGGCTGGCCTGTTCAGCATCCTCACCTCCCTGCCGAGTTCCCCACCACAGGTGGGAGAGGAAGGGTAAAAATACCCTCACACTGTCCTCCTCCCGTTTAAAGGTATATCCCACTTCTAGCTGCAGCCTGCCCTGCTAACCAGCCTTACCTGTGTTTAACTACAGTTCTCTCTGCTACATGGGGAGAGATGCTCAGTGGGGCTCTTTCCATTTTGCCAAGGAACACACAACAGTGGAGGCCTGGGCACTGGTGAGATGCCCCGTTTGCATTTTCATTGGTGCCCATTTTCACCTAAGACCCAGCTTGCTTGTGGCACCTCCCCCATCCAACATTTTTGCATATGTACTATCTGTGTATCAGAAGACATGAACTTGCAAAGAGCAGGCCCACTTCCTATACCAGTTTCTTTGCACAAGGAAGGGCCCTGTCCCCTGGGCCCACAGCCTGGTGAGCTGCTTATCTGAAATAGCTCCCTGTTCAGCTCCACCAGCACTTGCCCCGTTTTTTTCTTCCTTCCTTCCTTCCTTCCTTCCTTCCTTCCTTCCTTCCTTCCTTCCTTCCTTCCTTCCTTCCTTCTTCCTTTTTTCTGAGATAGAGTCTCTAAGGTCTCTTTACTATTTATCTCTCACTCTAGAACTCACTATGAAGACCAGGCTGGCCTTGAATTTACAGAGCTCCACATGCCTCTGCCTTTTTAGTGTTGATATTAAAGGTGTGTGCCAACCGCCACCAGGAGCCATTTTCCAAAGGTGCTAAACTTGACTCAGTTTGACCAAAGGCACATTTCTGAGGCTCTGAGGAGAGAGAGCTCTGAGTTCAGGCTCTTGGGGTTGAATGTCAGGAAACGTTGGTCCAGAGCAATGGTCTGTAAATGTCTACAGTTATTTTCCTCTGTCTGTTTGATGCATTCCCACCTCTTTTGCTTATATTTCACTCTTGCTAAAAATACAGTAAGAATATTACTGCTCCAGCCCATTCACTACACGCCGTTTCTAGTTTGCTGATCTTCAGGTGGAGTTTGCTGATCTTTGGCTCAGCCTTTAGTAGCTTAGAACTTTCTGGTCATCTTAGGTTTGGAAAAAAATGAGGTAATTTCTCAGAAAAAAAAAGTGAAACACCACTGCCTCATGCAGTAAGGAGGTGGAAGGAAAGGAGCGCATACCCTGAAGGAGCACCCACATCTTCCACACAGATGGAGCAGGCAGATCCGTAGGAAAAAGAGGGCAGACAGACGGAAGGAAGGTTCCACCCTTCCCCTGGCGACAGCAGTGACAGGTATTCTTGATGAGCCCCATACTTGGCATACAAGGGCACACTGCCCACAGAGGATATCCTTGTAGGGCATGGTGATATTAGGACTCCATAAGTGGTTCTCAATAGTCAGTCATGAAACCTAGCTTGAATTTATACCAAATTAGTATTTTATGTGCTCAGTGAACCAAATAGTTAGTGCATTTGACTGTGGTAAGACAGCCTAGAGGGGTTGGAGAGATGGCTCAGAGTTAAGAGCACTGGCTGCTCTTCCCCAGAGGTCCTGAGTTCAATTCCCAGCAACCACATGATGGCTCACAACCATCTATAATGAGATCTGGTACCCTCTTCTGGCGTGCAGGTATAAATGCAGACAGAACACTGTATACATAATAAATAATCTTTAAAAAAAAGAAAAAGTCTAGAAATGCAGGGATAGGGAATGTCCATCTACATTGCTTGAAGCTGGTTTCCCTGTGGACTCCTTTGCTGCTGTACACCAGCCTAATGGCCACACTCATCTCTTCCTCCAGCCAATGGGAAGCCTGACCATTACATCTGTGATCAGATTCCTTTCTAAAATCTGCTAGATATCAAAATAAAGGATTAATTATAAAGATTGAGGTCACCATTGTAACCTTAGAATCATGTTTGTCCTGAATCTAAAGCAAGACTCTTACATAGTTGGAGTTATCTTTTAAAATTCTCTTTCAATCTATATATTTTGATTGGGAAATTTTGATCCACTTACACTTAATGTAGTTGCCCATGGGGAGTGCCATCATTTTGGCATTTGTTGCTTATTTTCTGTATACCTTGTAGACTTTTATTTCATTTTCTTTCATATTGTTTTTACTTGATTTTTGGCACTGACACGTTTGATTCCGTTTCCATTTGTGTGTCGTCTGTAAGTCATATGTATTCATTTGTACACACTTGTGTGCATGTGTGTGTTTACTATGGAAATTACATATTCCACCCCAAAGTTACAATAATCCATTTTAAACTGCTGTCAGCTTAACTTCAATATTAACATTTTTCAGCCCTTGCCATATACCAGACTCTATATAAAATGTTACGCCTGCTTTATTTTAATCCTTTCAGTAACCTGAAATTCAGGTATTAGGCTTGGCATCCTGTAAAGAAGGAAACAGAGAGTGATTAATGAATCCCTAGTCTGACTGCTAGGAAGTAGCAAAGTTGGGATTCAGTTCAGGTCTGTCACGCCTCCTCTGTCCCACCCAGCCCATGAACAGTCTGAACTGGCATTTCCTCTTCTTCCACCACATCAGGTTTGGCAGCCACATGCTTTTGTTCAAGCTTGTAGTTCACTAGTCCCTCTCCAAAACAAGGCATTAATGGCTTTCCTTTTTATTTGCCATTTAACATGGGCGTGTACATTAGCGTGGAAGCACCAGCATGCAACACGGTGCTGAGACATGAAAATGTCTCTCTGAGGAGACTAGTTATCTCTGGTTTAACCCGACCAAGTTGTGGTGCACGTTTTCCTTTAAACTGTAGAATCTTTTCCCCAATAATAAAGTAAAACTTGTAACTGTTTATTCAAGCAATACATGGAAGAAAAACCCAGTAGTTTGGATTGAAAGGGCCTGTTTAATGACTGCCTTTCTTCCCCTGTTAGTCTGCTGCCAGAAACCTTGGTGGGGAGCATGTGCTCCACTCACTTGCTGATATTTTACCGACAAATTCTTGGAGATGTGCTCCTGAGGGACAGGACAAACCTGCAGAGTGCTGGTAAGTTTGGGCTGTTTCCCGTGAAACCCTTGAAGGTGTGTGTTCTATGCCAGCTTGTGCCTCCTGCCTACAGATGTGGCACATGGAATATGACATTGGTGTCCACACATCACTCAGGAGCAGCTTTGTGAGCCCAAACATGCTCAGCTCCTTCCCACACACAGCCTCAGCTTTTCCATTCTGGGCCCACATGGAAACAGTTTCCTCTTCAGTCTTGAACTCATCTTTTCACCTGTGACCTATCATCTTTTCAGGAAGCAATCAGAGTCATCCCCGACAGCTGTGCTTAACATAATGAAGTGTGTCCATGGATCAGTTACAAGTCAGTAAATGAAACTGTGCTCCAGTGTCTCTGCACCATTTTTATCCGTGGGATTTCATTTTAAATTAATTGTTATGTGTGTGTGGTAGATGATGCGTTCACGCGCACATGAATGCATTGCATGTGGAAGTCCAGGCTTTTTGTTGGGCAAATTCATGCCTCACCCTCCACCTCACTCATCAAGGGAGGGCCTCTCAATTGAGCCCGGAGCTCCCCCATACAACCTGACTGGCTAGCTCTAGGATCCACTCTCTCTACTGGAATATATGTGAGCTGCCACACCCAACTGGCATTTGCATGGGTTCTGGGGAGTCCAGACTTCAGACCTGCTGGCACCATTCAGTTATCTCCCTGATCCTTGTCATTTGTTTTTGAGTTCAAAATTTTTTCTAAGTAAAATATAAAAAAGTACTTTTAGAAATCAACAAGCTGTCATACATGAATGAACTTTCCAAGTAACCATACTATAAGAGCCTGGTTTTAAAATAAACCATTTTAATTCTGTGGTGCATCGCTTGAACTCTGGAAATCAGTGTGTCAGATACCCACTGCCTGCTGGGTATATGATGATGTGCCCTTGAATGATGAGTGAGAAAGGTATGGTTGAACCCATCATAATAGAGCACCCAAGCTTCAAAACAAAATGATGTGAGTAATCCCTTTAGCCTTTTACAATAATTGGTCACAAGAAAAATAGAGGGACCATGTACCAAGAAGATCTGAATGAATGTATAACACGAAGAAAGGCTTCTACGAGCAGGTAATATCAAAGATGAAACCTGAGCAAAAGATTAGACAGTGGGGAGATTTGAGAGAATCCTTTCTGTTAGAGTAACCTGTGTGCCTGGACACCCAGCGCAGGAAAATGCATCTATGCCCATGAGATTGAAGTTGAAGGCAGGCTGGCATGGAATGGAGTACAAGGAATGGGACAGCCTGGCGAGGCCTCACAATGTGGACAATTATGTTCCTAGTTAGGAGTCTACATCCAGAGTCTTGCCCCAGAAATGTAGGAGAACAAAGTCAAAAGCTACACAGAAACATCCAAAGAAATATTAACTCCAGGGAATAATACCTGAGCTTTAGCCATCTGTTGCCCTTGGATTTAACTACTAGGAATCTTCACCAGTAGCACAGCTCACATGCAGGCTTACTGGCTGTTGTGGAGGCAAGGAGGCTGTTCTAAGTTGATCTCTACTGAGGCACAGGATGGTGGGATGTGTGACACTTGGCATTTCAGAAACAAATGCTGTTGTCTGAATGTGACTCTTCCGAAATTGATGCATTGCATTATGATGGAATAGAGAGGAAGGGAGGGCCTTTAAGAGGAATCAGGCCCTTGACTCTTGAGTGGACTTAGGTATCTTTGTAGAAGGGCTTGATACTGCCCTTCTAGTTCTTCCACACTCTTTTACAGAAGACACAGTGGCCATCCTCCTTGGATACCTCATTTCAGAACTTCCTAGAATAAATGTAGAGACACAGAGAGATTAAATGGGACAGCTTCGAACCCCTGAATTCCCTTGGAAGCCAAAGTGTGTAAAAGGGTGTTAGCAGCAAATAATTGGCCTAAATTTTAATCTGAATAGATATGGTGAGATCAAATACAAGAAAATAAGAATGCAAAAAAAAAATTTAAATGCAATTTAAATTCTTCCTGTTGTGTGTTTCAGATTTAATTAGTCATCCAGTGCTGGCCACCTTCCCTGTGCTGCTGGAGCAGCCTGACGTGATGGATGCTCTCAGGGTGGGTAGCATGTAGCATGGTGGAAACCTGCTGGAACTAGGTGTTTCTCAGCCGCTGTTCATTGTCTTGCTAACACAGTCTCATTCTTTTAAGCGTGGTGGATAGTACTCCCCAGGCTTACCTCTCCGATGCAGTGGCAGTGGGGACTGCTGAGTTCATTACTGGACTTTCTTGCCTGTTATATTCCTCCGTATAAGATGCCCAAGAGGCTACTCCGAGAGTGAAACTCTAAAACCATCTGTTGTGTCAGTCAGCTGAGCTTTCAGAAGAGTTGGGGTTTCATACCATCTTTGATTTCATTCAGCATACTGTGCTGTCTGAAATAGCAACTTGATTTAAAGTGAACAGTTTGAAATCTCCAATCTTCCATTGAATTTGCATTTCCAAAATCACTATTTTGTGTGTCTCAACCTGAAGCATTAGGGCCAACAAAAAGAGAAGCCTTGTGACCATGCAAGGCTCAGACACAGATAACATGGTAGATGCCATGGCCAAGTTTGGGGCCTTCAAATATTTGGTGAAAGCAGCAAATGACTATCAGAACTCTGTCTCACTAAAGATCCGTAGGTGGGAGGGACCTGACAAAGGGCTGGGGCCGCAGCTTAACCCGCTGATGGGGTTGCTGTCTCGGGTGTGGGAGGATCAGCAGAGACCTTTTGAGGCAGATCGGATCCAATTTGGCGTGATATATGTGGAGGGACCAAGAGTGGCCAAAATGAGAGGCTGCACTTGGAGAGCGAGGAAGGCAGGGAGTGACTGTGACCAGGAAGTGTCCTCATTCCCGCAGTGCAGAGGCAGAGCAGCACGTGCACAGGAGGATAGTGGCCACATCCACTGGACTTCTGGCTGAGACAGTAGTCAAGCTGCCGTGAGGCGGAGGCAGAGGCTCCCTTTTACAGTTTTTTGTTTTTTTTTTTTTTTTTTTTTGTCTTATAGATAAAAGAATTTTAGAACAGTCCCAGAAGGAAGCCTGAGAACAGTTTTATTGTACTTTAAGCGTGAAGTAAGTTGAGTGCCCAGTGTTCTTGGGCACAGCTTTCTCAGAGAATCTAGCAGGACTCCCACATGGCAGTCATGGTCCAGTTAGAGCCCATCTCGTGGGACAGCCTTCAGAACAGTGGGGCTTTTCTGCTTGAAGAAGCGTTTGCCTGCCCAGTATCCAAGGGTCCTGTTCTAGCAGAACAAGAATAGTCTCACATTGGAGTCTAAGAAACAAAACACCAGGCCAACCAAGCTGAGGATTTTGACAGCTGCAGGAGGACTGAACTGCAAGAGGCAGAGGCTCAGCTGTACTTCCCGAGTCAGAGGTCAAGAAAGCAGGCAGGCATCACAGTGCAGGTCTGAGAGACAGCCTGGGGTAGGCTGTCACTAGAAAGAGGGTTCTTCCTCACTCATGATTCCCTCCCAACATGGCTGTACCCCATAGCTACCCAAGGGTGGAGCCTGGTGAAAGCCCTGTTCTCTTCTAGAACCATTTGGAGTGAATAGCTTTCTCTGTTGCTGTTTGCCCCTGAAGGAAAAAGTAGAGGATTGACCTTGGGTTTTCCACTGTCTTTACCTCAGGAGCCTGTTCATTTCTGCACATATTTCATTGGCCAAACCAGTCATGTGTTCTGCTTAACTCGAGCGGGGCTGGGAAAGAGAGGCTTCTGTTTGTTCCAGAAGGAAAAGGGTGGGTCTCAGTGAAGTGGCAGTGACCCACGCACACGCTGTCCCCACCAAGTCCCTCTGTCTGAGCCCCTACCCCACTGCTTTCTGTGAACTAAAAGCTCAGGTGGAGTCTTCACACTGACAGTTTTCCCGACAGTGAAGCTAAGTGACTAAGCAATGCTCACGCTGAGCCACAGCGTCTTTTAAGATGTGCATTATCAAGTGTGTGAGTCTTGGCTTCACGCAGCTAAGCGCAGTTTGTGGTTGGTGTTTTAATGATGGTGACACCTGGCCTGTTGTAAAACGCTGTGACCCTGAAGGGTTCTCTTGAGCTAGAGGCAGAAGGTGCAAGTTAACAGGATAGATTGTCACAACCTCGGGAGGATGAAATAACCTCAGCTATACCAAGACTTCATGGTCAGCCCATCAGCACATCCTTTCTCCAGGGACAGATGGGTCCCTGCCTCAGCACCCTGTAACCATAGGCGCCTATGGTTGGCCTGCCCTACCCAGAAGGGCTGATGCTTTCAGGGTACCTATAGGTCGCTATCTACAAATCCACACAAAACCAGTCCTGGACAGTCAGCCTGGAGACTGGGCATATTCACCCAGCCTTCAGTTCATCCACATGTAGGATCCCTTGATCGCAGGCTTCTCTGCTTTAAAGACAATTTTGTGAAGCCTGTGGACAGGCTCTAAATGCTTACTTGTAAATCGACTTGTCGGTCCCATCCCTTGTCACCAGTGTGGCTGGCAGAATCGTTAGCGTAGGGGACTTGGCAGGGCTTCCTATTTTTGTTGCTGTCTCTTCTTGGAAGCTCATGACAGCCTCAGCATCTGGGCATTGTGTGTGGTTGGCACAGGCGTTTGTTTTACTCATTCCTTTTGTAAGTCAGTTATAATAATCACAGGTTTCTGGGGTGTCCTTCCCAGGTGTGCCAGCCCTCCCTGTCAGGCTGGTTCTGGGTTGCTGGCATAGATGTCGTTGACAGTGCTACCTCTTTCTCACTAAATGCTCTGCAGCACTTCTGACCCCACCCCAAACTACATATATACATACGTGCATACATACAGAGCTGCACACATACATATGTACATACCTGTATACCCACCTACCTACATACACGTACATACAGGGTAAAGCTGCAGGTGTCGGCAGGAGTACTATGACTAATGCAGTGTCTGTTCTCCCCTTTAGAGTTCGTGGGCTGAGAAAGAAAGCACCTTGAAGCGATCAGAGAAGGTAACTGGGCTTTCACACCGACCTCCAGACTGATTTCCTGTGTGTTTCAGTGAGAGGCCACCATAGATGGAACCCCTTCCTCAACCAAATTGTGCCATTGCGATTGCACAAACAAAGTCTAAGAAGGCATCGTATTTACTCCTTAGTGTAAATGGGCCCTGAACAAGCTGGTTATTTCAGATCCCTGAGTTTTCCTTGACGAAGAAGTCTCTAAACTAGTCTTGTAGTTAGCAAATATCCTCTTTTTTTTTTTAAGACCCTCTAGCTCTTACATACACATGAAATAAAGAGAAGGGGGCAAAAAGCTGGCCCGGGTGGGGGCCAGCACTGAATGGAATGCTTGCCTCCGACTTACACTGCCTCAGGCCACTGAGCAAGCCTGGCCTTGACCAGTGAGGGGGCCACTGCCGGAATCCAGGACTCCACAGACATTTTCTGTTTAGGACCGGGTAGTGAGTTCAGACAGGCTTTGTGAGACACATTGTCTCCCACAGTGAGGCTACTGTCAACAAGAAAAAGCCACCGCAGAGACACGCGAAAGCCCAGAGCTCTGTGTCTATTTACAAAAGGAGTCAGAGGCCACATCGGTCTCATGGTTCGCTACTCCGTGATCTAGCAGGTGTACCCAGCCCACGTGCCACCTGTGCCCTGGGATAGCTAAGGATGTGGCCCAACCCAAAATTGTCAATGTACCTAAAACACTGAGATTTCTTTTGAAAAATGTTACATGGTTTTCAAGAGTTAGCTCTGTAGACGACATATTGTATCAAAATGTCAGAAAGTTAGACACACCTCAAGTGTTGGTTACAAGAAATGTAGGGGAAAGACAGAAGAAAAAGAAAAGGCCTAAATTTCCGAGCAGGAGCAGGCTTGTCTGGGCTTGCACAGTACCGCTGCACTTTAGCCAGTCTCTAGGTTCCAGACCTTTCTACAGCAGCAGTGAGTGAGCTGCTGGGCCTCTGCAGCCGGGGAGCCCTCTCTGCTCAGCCAGAGCACCCTGAGGTCCCTCCCTTGCTATGGGCCCCCGGCTAGGTGGTTCTTATTGTCTGGGGAGTGTCTGATGCCCTCACTTTTTACCAATAGTCTCCCTGCCTGGGCCTCCTTTCTCCACGTCACACAAAGTGCTTGCCATTTCTCTTCTCTTCTGTCTTCCCCCCCTTTTTTTGTTTCTTTTGTTTTTGTTTTGTTTTTGTAGATAAGGTCTTACCTGTGGCTGGCCTGGATCTTGTTAAGTAGACCTGCTTACCCTCCAACTCACAGGAGTCTAACTGCCTTTGCCTCCTGAGTGCTGGAATTAAAGGTGTGCACCGCCATGCCCAGCCCTGCTTCTCTCTGGCACTGAGGCAATTCTCTCTGGCAGACAATAATTCAACTACATCTATATAGCCCCCTTGCATTGTGGGGTGTGCATGCATGCCTCCGTGTGTGTGTGTGTGTGTGTGTGTGTGTGTGTGTGTGTGTGTTTGTGTGACTAGAGTAGATTGTAGCACTTTGGTCTCCTTGACAGAGCATGTGACACTCGGTGGAGGTGACAGCCTACCTCACAAAGCCCCTGCAGAGTTCTTGGGGAGAGCCGCTAAGCTCTGTTCCACCTTGCCGCTCATTCCCTATCTGCCAGGTCCTCGGTCCCGCTCCTCAATGGCTTTTAGCCAACAGCTCACGGGATTTTGTATCTTGAGAGCAATGGTACCAGTCTACTCATAGTTCTCTGTGGTGGTGTTTTCCCAGAGAGACAAAGAGCTGCTGAAGTCTGAGTTCCTCCTGGTCTACCACGACTGCGTGCTCCCTCTGTTGCATTCCACGCTGCTGCCCCCGTTCAGGTGGGCTGAGGAGGAGACGGAGGCCGCTCGCTGGAAAGCCATCGCCGACTTCCTCAAGCAGAGCCGAGAGAACGAGGGTTCCCTGAAGGCTCTGCTGTCACCAGATGGGGTTCACAAGCCGTTTGACCTTTCCGAGCAGACCTATGACTTCTTGGGTGAAATAAGAAAGAATTCAGCCTGACGGTGGCCATGGCTCTCGATTCCCACTGAACCTGGAGGGCTCCCCATGATGACGTGGCTCAAACAACAGAACCAAAAGAAACAGACTGGTTAGACATTCAGTCATATTCTTTTGTGTACAAATTATATTTTCAAAGAAATATCTAATAATTTGACTATGTAAAACAATAAAATAAGTTTTATAAGGAATATTGTTATATCTAAGTGTGAATATTTTTCAAGACACCAATTCATAAGTGTCGAGCTGAAGGTGTAGATGTCTATGAAAGAGTTTTTAGCAAAGGCTGACTTTGTGATTATTGAAGAAAGAAAAAAATATTATCTACCCAGAAAATATACTTCCAAATCCTAAGACTGATACTTAATATCAAGGGCAGGGCTCAGTGATTTCGGGCTTGTCTGGTTCATGCAGGGCCCTGGGCTCCAACCCCAGCATTGTGAAGACAGAATATATAAACTGTCCATTTGAGGAATTGTGTTGTGAGTCATTTAACTCAGTCTCACATTTGGATTGACTTGTCCCTGAGTAGAACAAATACAGAATCCTTGTCTTTTCAAGTCAATATCAAAAGTCTAACTTTGTTTTAAAAAAAAATGTTTTCTAACCCACATTAGAGAGTGGTACTGATATGCTTTGCAGTAGAATACGAGGTCTTGGTGCACCTCAGATAGACTCGAAGGTGCTACCAAATTTCTCACACCTTTACTGTTAGCCATAGTAGCACGGCTATCTCTCGAGGGCCTGGCCATGTTCCGCATCTCTTGGTTGGTAATGATAATACTGCGGCTCTGCTGAGGACCTGGTCGGGTTTGTCAGTGCTCGCCTTAGCTGCGTGGTCCTCTGCGCTGCTGTAAGCTGCAGGTCCGTAGTACTGCTGAAGAGATGGACAGAACAGATCGTGTGATCTCTAGAAAGTCGGAGCTAGTCAGCGGCACAGCGGATGTGCCACGTACCATGTCTGCCGCCCCAGAGGCTCCACCTCGTGATGCAGACTTAAGAATTACATGTGCAGACAGGCAGTACTTACTACTGCCAGCCTCCTGCCCCGTGCAATGTAGTCTTAAAAGAAAAAAATGTGCAAGTAAAATTTAAGAAAGGTATTTAAAGAAAAGTATGGATGAATAAAGAAGAGGCCAACCTAAACTGTTAAGAATCCCCAAAATACACTTAACAGTGTAAGAGACCTTTATTTCTAGAAATTTGTTATATTATGACACTTCTGAGCTGTTCCAAATTCCACTAGCCCAGGCTCTTAAAGGTCGAACTCAAGGAACGATGGAGAGAGGCAGGGGCCGAGCCTCCAGCCTGTGAAGTCTAGGGAGACATATTTAAGTTCCATCCAAACCACAATGGGCCTTGAGCTCAGAAATGAACGTGGTCTGGCAGGATTCCCGGCCCATAACATGACAGACAAGTGGGAACTTGGCCTTGAGAAAAAGAACCCGCTGCACCGCAGCCCTCTGTGTGAGCCCTCTGTCCTGGGTGACAGTAAGGGGCTGTTGAAGGCTGTCTTCTGCTCATCACTTTAAGGCTCACTTCCCTGGCAGCTCCGCTCCTTCCCAGGGCCTCTCCAGCTGCCGTTCCCTGGAAGACCCTGCCTGGTCGGATGTGCACAGGGGTTCCGGGGCCTCTGTCCTACCCAGCCATTGAGTCGCCTCCAACCCCAGCCTCCTGGAGGCCTGTTCTTAAGGGAACCTGAGACCACGTTATAACCACGCACTGTAAAGTTGGTTTTTCTGTAGAATGTGTGTGTGTGTGTGTGTGTGTGTGAGAGAGAGAGAGAGAGAGAGAGAGAGAAAGAGAGAGAGAGAGATACAGGGTTTCTTTGATGCTATATGTTTCAGTTTTTGTTTTTTTAACTAGTTGGCTTATTCTTGGCCTGGGACTGGGCATTTGGGATGAAAATAAATGCTGGCAAGTTCCTTCCAGTGGCTCTAGGACCAGGAGGAAGAAGCTGCTTTCAGACTCCCAAGCTAGCTTCCCTGCTCGTTTGAAGTGACTAAGGAGTTGACGACTGTAGACAGTTTTCACAGTTTTTGACACACGAGGAAGTACAGAGACAGCCCCAAACAGTGTGGGTGATGCTGGTTCAGAAAGGGAAAGACATGGACAGCCAGCCTGCGTAGAAAGGACAGCACCATCGGATGCCATAGCCCTGCCGGTGAGAAACTCCTTCCTTTCAGTCAATGGAATCTTGTTTTTTCAGCAAAGCCTCTCTGGCTCTTTTAAATGTCGCTTTTTTAGCTTCCAAAACAGGAAAGGGTTGTCAAGGAGCCAAAAACATCCTGGAAACAGTCCTGGAGCACGTGTGTTAAAAAGTGAGGCTCAAGAGCAGGCTGAGGTAGGCCTGCAGGGAGAGGAGCAGTGGGAGAAGGCAGGCCAGGACAAACCTTCTCCGGGGGGTGGGGGGAACCTCCCTGGAAGGTGAGGCGCTCCCTATATCCAAAGCACATAAACTAAACCACACAGCCCGTTCTTTCCAGACTCAGCCTCCTCTCCTCTTTATTACTGCCTTTTAGAGTATGTGTGTGTGTGTGTGTGTGTGTGTGTGTGTGTGTGTGTGTGTGTGTAATACTCATTTAGAGAGTTTGAGTGTGTGTGTCCGCATGTGGCTGTGCATTCCTGTATATGTCTGCACGCAAGTGCAATGCTCCTTTAGAGAGTGTGTATGTGCGTGTGTGTGTGTGTGTGTATGTGTATGTGTGTGTGTGTGTGTGTGTGTGTGTGTGTGTGTGTGTGTGTGTGATGTTCAGGGATGAACTCAGAGTTCAGTCCTAGACCACCTCATTTAGGGAGGGTCTCTTGTTCTGTATACAAGGTTAGCTAACCTATGATCTTCCTGGAATTCTCCTGCTTCTGCCTCCCAGCTCAGCTTAGGAGCTCTGGCAATACAGATGCATAGTTCACCCAGCTTTACGTGGGTGCTAGGGATCCGAACCCAGGTCCTCACACTTCCACTGCAAGCACCGTACCTGCTGAGCTGCTTCCTCAGCCCCTCAGCCCCTCCTGCCTCTGTGAGGGCTCTAGCATCGTGCCTGGGTGCTTACAGTGATGTTGAAGGGCGGGAGTCTCTTCAGGTTACAGTGATCCTGTGGGTATACCCCTGTGGGGTCTCCACACTAGCAGGAAGAGAGCCTTGCCTGCCTGTCCCAGGAGCATCTTGGAAAGCCATCTTCTCAACAAAGGAGGCAGAGATGTCCTCTGCCGGGGGTGGGGGGTGGGGAGGCTTTGTCAGTCTGCGGTGTGGTAGGATCTCCTTTGCAGGGTCTGCACACACTTCCTGCTGTGTAAAGCATTCCCGAGGCAGAAGAGTTCTCTGGCAAGGATAATGATCCGACCTGGGTGTTGGTTCACTGCAGTGTATTTTCTTTCCTCAATTCAAAGAGGTGGGGACAGAACTCTACTTCCTTAGGTGTGCCTGAACATCTGAGGGGTGTCACTGTGTACTCCCTTGTTTGTTCAAAATGTTGCTGGGACCACTACTGTACTCCCAACCTGAGCGCTGTCTCTGCTCTTACTTACAGCTTGCACACCAAGTGGCTGGGAACCACGAGAAACAACCTCAAAGGGAGGGTGTGATGGCTGCGGGGTATTACAATGGCATCTCGTTTTTGTGACAGGTAAATTGTAATGGTTAGGGCTGTGACCATAGCTCAACTACAGCCCAAACGCAAGAACCTGAGTTCAGTCCTAGCATGAAAAATGCCAAGCACAGCAACAGCATGGAAAGCGCTGGCTGGAGAGGTCCAGGCAGCTCCCCCCGGGGCTTACTGGCAGGCCAGTCTAGCCTAGTTGGTGAGCTGCAGGCCAGTGAGAGACTCTGTCTCTAAAAGTGAGGTAGATGGCCCCTAAGGGAAGTCCTCTGGACTCCACGTGCACATACGAATACAGCTGAACAGCCAATCAATCCCAATGGTTCTCTACCGGGGGTATTTATTAGTGGACGGAGGACAGTACTGTTGGCAAAACATATACACATTCTTGTCAGGACGTGCCCTCTCCAAACCACTACCTGACCTTGGAGCCCTCTCAACTGCAGGCCCACGCTCCAAAATTGTTTCAGGATAACGCTATTGTTTCAAATTGTCTGATAACACTATCTTTCAGAATCTAGCCTGACAGCCAAGCTCCTGATACCCAGCTTGGTAAATCACATCAACTTGGGGAGGAGGGAATAGGCATAAGGAAGTGACCAGAGCAGAATGGAACTGCCGTCCAGGTAGGGCACTGGTGGCCTTTGGTGTCTGACTCAGCGGTGACTGACACCGAATGGGGGTGGGGAGCTCCGGGCAGCAACATAAAACGGAAGCATTAATGGGATGTAGCGCACACTTGGGACTTTGGTAGCACATTCTGGGTTAGTCTGTTTCTTATACTCTACAAGGCAGGTTGGACCTTACCCTGATCGTCTGTGTCTATATTCCAACAAAGATTAATGCAGGGAACTTTGTCCTTTCTCTGAGGCCAACCTGGAGGCAATCAAAATAGCAGGAGGAGGAGGAGGAAAGGGAGGAGGAGAAGGAAGAAGATAAAGTAGAAGAGGAGGAAAAAAGGGAGGAGGAAAAGATGGGGGAGGAAGCAGTTGTCTCTAAAATCTTTATGGCTGGATAAATGAGAGATGTCATCATTCAAAGCATTCACTGTGGGTTCTCCGAGTTGCCAGGCACAATGGCCCACCACAGAACACTTCTGCTTTCCCGACTGCTGTTTTCCTGAAGCTCACAGCCTAAGGAAGGGCAAGAGACAAGGGTCAGGGGCAAGCAGCAATGAGAAGTAAATAAGCAGGAGAAATTCCCAGTAGTGGTGTGTGCAGAGAATTAACACAGGATGGTTTACACTCAGCCAAGGCTAGTCTGCCTTCCCTTCCGTGCGTAGAACTGAGACCCTTGATCAGGACCCAACAAAAACATGAAAGTAGAAAGATTTGGGAAAAAGCAGAATTCAAAATATTGCCATGCTGGAGGAGACCCTCCCTCTCCCTCCTTCCCTCCTCTCTTTCTTTCTCATTATTTTGGTAGATTTTGTTTGATTGGTTGTTTTTCGTTTTGATTGAGATATGGCTTCACTCTGTAGCCCAAGTAGGCCTTGATCTCATGAATAATCCTCCTGCCTCAGCCTCCCAAGTTCTGAGATTGTAGCTGCAAATCATCATACCCACCGACTTTTCCATTCTCTTTTCTCT